ATCAACAGGGTTACTTAGCAGTGATCCTTTTTAGTTAGTTTTGAAAAACTTAATTTTTCCCTTCATTTAGCAAAATAAACTAACTGAACCTCTGTAAAGCTCTGTTTCTTCCCAGTTTGTCAATGGAAGTTTTGTCGTTTACATAAATAGAAGCTGAATGAGCCGTTTGAACATATGCAAAGTTGTATTCGTTAATAAGTTGGGTCAAGGCCAGTAAAGGACTCAAAATCTTTTCCAGAAAAAAAAAAAAAGAAAAACCACAATCTTCCGAATAATTCCCTGTGAAAAAAAAAAAAAAAGTAAATATGCCTTAGAAGGTTTCTTGAAAATTAGCAGATAGAAGCTATATCAGATTGTCTGAAGAATCAATTTGAGAATAAGAGTTTATCCAGGCTGGGAAAACCAACTATGTTTGGAAATGTATTAGCTAGCAAATTTAAACTGACAGAGTCCAAGTAAGGCAAGTTGTGTTCGAAATCATGTAGGTCAACTCTAAACTCCCCTCCTCAGTTGCCAGGGCTCAGCTAGCATGTTTGAAACACAACTTGCTCTGCCTACATTAGCATACAGTTGCATTTAAATTTTGTTTAAATGTCAGTTGATGCAGATAGGGAAATATCAACAGGATTATGTTAATACTGAGCCTTCCCATAGCCCGCTGTGCACCTTCGTTTCAAACATGCGAGGATACAGCAAGACCTTACTAGACGGTGCATTAACTAGTGCATTTGTAGAAGCAGCCAGCAGCCCAGCTCGATCCCAGGCCGGAGTGTCCCTCAGCAGCGCCTCGTGGGGAGGCAGAGCCTTCGCGCTAGCACATGCCAGCAGCGGGGCACACGCGCTCCTCGCAACCCACGTGCAGCGAGCAGATCCCACCTAGTGCTAACCCAGTTTTTCTGCCTGGCAGTGTCAGCATGCGCCAGTGGGGAAAACAGACGAGAACGATGTGAACTTGAAAGAGTTTCCTTAATCCTAGCCGCAGTGATGTTCTTTGTGCATGGGCCAGCTGCTAGCAGCCCTCTCCAGACAGCAGCTTGCCTGGCCTAGCCTCAGCATCAAAAGCATAGCTGTGTTCACATGGCTCGTCACTTATTTCTTTCTCTCCTAGACTACACATGTAAGTCACCTTGATGGAAGTGTCACTGGGCCTCTAAATACACCCAGCTCTGAGTAACTTGTATCTAAACAGCAGCATTTTGCACCCTTGGCTCAGGTAGTTTTCAGCCCTTTGAGTTTCACTTTCAATTTCAGGTTCTATTGAATCCAAAATGATGAAACTGAGATTTGAATTGAAATTGGAGAATCTTGATGAACAAATGCACTAATCTGAAAGAGTTTGGCAGACAGTCCTCACATGCCTTTGCTAAGCCAGAGGTAGAACTACTGTCTATGCAGCAAAGCCACAGAGCTCTCTTTCAGAAATAGGAAAAATATTCACTAGGACTATAGTTTACATTTACATAAGATAATATGCTTTTTTTTTTTCTCCAAATTCAATTGACGTGATAGAAAGTATTATGATTGTAATTTTGCACTGGAAACTGGCATGAAAATTAAAGAAATTGAATTATTTTATTTTGCTAAGAATGTAGTGTAGTTGAAATAGTACCCAAGGACTATCAGCACTTTATAAAAATGACTGCGTGCTTCTCTATGCAGCTACATATTGTTCTGCCATTGATGAATCAGGGAGTGATCGGGATCAATGCTTTCATAGATATAAAACAGGATAATATAATGCCTTTTGAAGTAGACTTTCTTGCTGGGGTACATTATATACTGTATATACTGTATATGTAATGTATGCAGCAATGTATATACTGTGCATTGACCAGGTACTTCCAGGACTGATCTGAAATCATTAACATGTGAGGCAGTTTCTAAATAACATTAATTTCCCCAAAGTCTCAAACATGAAAAACTACAGCATCATCAAATATAGGGATTTTTAAGGATTTGTTCATTTTTAATTTTAGGATGCTGGTATGGAGAAGACGATTGAATTTCCTTTGAAAGGCTCAGAGATCTGAGTAATGGAACTTACAGTGCTTGAATAGTAGAACTATGCAGTTAAGTTCCCAAACTTAAACAGCAAGACTGTGGCTGAAGCAAACAATGAGTTCATTAAATTGCTGTTTGGCGTATGTAAGGAATATGCTGAACAGAATGTATCTCTGCTGCAACCAGATAATTTAATGGTGTTACACTGTGGATGCATTACAAATCAAAATCATCTCCAGGGAAGCTCAATTAAACACACAGAATATAGCTTCACTATATATAATGTAACTGCTACTGTCAAGTGTTCGTAGAAAACTCACAGAACTTTCTTTCAAATGCTAGTCTGCATCAAGGGGTAGCTCAGCATCCACGCAAGGAGCCTCTGCACCTTTCCCAGCTGCCGTGGGCTAGGACACCAAGGCCAGAAATAGCCACTGCTCCTCAAATGCTGCATTCCTGGAGGAAATGGGCAGTGGCCCACTGGCTCCATGCAGCTGCATTCAGAGGCACCAGTGGAGAGACTGAACCTTGCACATAAAAGAAGGAAGAATTTGGCTGTGTTTGGGAAATGCAACCCTAGCTTCTGGGATCTTGGCACCTGTAGGAAAATTATTATGCAGTAGGTGGGCAATCCTTTAGTATTCCATGTGCTGTTAGTTTCAGTTTTCCTCGGTAACGAAAGGAAAGCGGGAGGCTTTGCCTCTCCCCAGGAAGGGTCACACACGCTGTGGCTGCAGCCTCCAGCCCTTGCCTTGCTGCAGCCCAGAGAGTGAGCCCCCGAGCGAGCTGGGGCTGTCGACTCCAAGTTTCCACTTTCAGCCAGATACCAGTGTCAATTTTCAAATCTCACTGACCAGGACAATCGCAATCACAAGCGTGGCAAAATGAATGATCTGGAATTCATAAGCCAAGTCATCGGGCACAAGTCCCTGCAGGTGTTCGTAGCACTTACCTATGCGGACACTCGTGCAGGGCACGTTCTGTAGTACCAGACTGCTTAGCCTATTGCTCGATGTCAGCCAGATACCAGTGTCAATTTTCAAATCTCACTGACCAGGACAATCGCAATCACAAGCGTGGCAAAATGAATGATCTGGAATTCATAAGCCAAGTCATCGGGCACAAGTCCCTGCAGGTGTTCGTAGCACTTACCTATGCGGACACTCGTGCAGGGCACGTTCTGTAGTACCAGACTGCTTAGCCTATTGCTCGATGTCATTTGCAAGAAAAACTCACACGTGTTTGATATGTTTTCTAAGAATAGATATATCTTATTGATAGATCAAAACCTACCTATTAGAGGTAAATTACAACTATTACCCTTTATCCAGTTTTCAAAACATAAATTTTACCGATTCTTTTAAAATAGAACCTAGGCTCAGCTGGCCCTCTCTAGGATATGAATATGAAAAAAAACTAGTTTAGCTCACTTGTATGTGAAATATTAGAGCTTTTTCAGAGAGTTGTGTTCAAACTAATGTGCTTTTACTTTTGGTTTTACATAATGAAGGCCACTTGCCTTTCACCATAATATAGAATTTTTTAAGTTCTAGCTGGAAGTTTTCACTAGATGGCGGGATTCCACTATCATCTATTATCAATGGATTTACTTGCAAAGCAACAGTTGTATGTCAGTAGGAGACACTTTTAAACACATTCAAGTTTTGCAAAGTATCAAAACAAGCAAAAAATTCATCATTAGGAAGCAAAAATGATACATATGCTCAATAAATCACAGCTCTATTACTGAATACGATTAGTATTATGGGCTGAAAATCACTCAAAATTGTAATGAAAGACGTTGTTTTCTTGATACAGGAGCTCAGAAGACTTTCTTTGCAAATGAGGTATACTTGCACATTTGTGAAAAAGTAACTGATCCAGTAAGTTTACTGTATCTAACTAATAAGTGTATAAACTTAAAAATTCCTTTAAGAGTAAGAACATGAATAATTAAATTACTGACATAAAGAGTATATCAAACTATGAAAAACTTAAGAAAAATAAACATACTGGATTCCCAAAATACAAAAAAGTGACTTGTAATTCCATAGTCATCTTGTTTTTTTTTTTTTTTTTTTCCCCCCTTTTTTTTTGGCCTAAGATTCATTTTAATCTTTAGCCCTCCAGCTAACAAGGCAGAACGAACTGTGTGGTGATCAGCCCCAGTGCTGCTCCAGCCAGTGGCAATGTGCTGACCACAGGGCTCCGCACATTCGTCCCCCTTGTCCAGGAGAGCAGAGCGCGGCACCATACAGTTACATAAGCCTTAATGACTCTGACAAATCTTCATTGTTGCGATGGAACGAGCACTTTTTTTCAGCAAAACTACGTTTTAAAGGTTTTGGTTTTATAATTTGGGTTATATTTGGGGGTATATTTTGTATTTATTAGAAACATCTATTTCTGTTTTTTTTTCCTCTCTCATCTCCCTCTCTTCATACATAGAGATAATTTATGAAATGTTCGGCAACTTTCAGTGTCGTTCATGAAATACCAAGAGGGAAAGTTTGGTATCTATTAAAGCTGCTAAGACCAGATAACTTTCCAAAAACAGAGATAGCTCAGTGTAATGCCTTCCAGGATTCCCAAAATAGTAAGAACATTTTCTCATGATAGGACTGTATTTATTTTATGCCTAGAGTATAAAAAGCAGTGTAAGTAGATGACAAACAGCATTTCCTAATATGAGATTAAATTTGGTGATATGCTGTGTGCTTTCAAAAACAGAGCATATCAAATAGGAGCAGAAAGGCAGCACGTATCACCTCACAGTTTCAAAAACTTTTAAATTCAAGGAAATATTTGCAATACTTGAAAATTATCTAACAATAATCACTGCTTTTTATTAACAGCAAGCATAATCAGCATCTGTAGAAGTTCTGCAAAACACGTTAGCAGATTCAAACAAGCGTCACAGTAAGATTTGTCAGAGAGACCCCTGTCCTCTCTCCTCCTTGCCACACAACACTGAAAACATCTTTATCTCATGATCCTACCTTGGCGATTTGCAAAGGCTGCTTTTGCTCCTTGCCACCTTGCAATCTAAAGCCCCAAGGCGCCCCTCCACTCATAGCAATGTTGATATAATCCCCTGTGCCCATTTTCGAGCTGCAGTTAGGCAGTGTTCATATGCAGAAGAAGATGGAAAAGTTGCCTCGCAGCTGTTCAGCGAGCCTGAGGTCTGCGTGCCAGGCCGAGAGCAGAGCGCCGCGCCGCTGCTGCCGCTGCGCTGGCTAGTGCGCTCATTCACGGCAGCGGGAGAGCTCTCGCCCACGAAGGGCTCGGCCCACTCTGTCGTCAGCTCTGCACGCTCAGCCCACCTCGGCCCTCGAGCGAGTAACGCCGGGGAAGCACAAAGAGCCGCCCGCGGGGCAGAAGGGGCTGCCTTGGAACATGGGTCTCTTGTGGCAGCCAAATCAGAACAGCAAAAACTAGCGCAGAACTCCTAGCGAAGGTTTAGGATGTGAGTTTACTTTAGTGTAAACTCTGATTTCTCTGGTTCTTGCACACATGCCCCATACAAAGAAGAAAGGGGAATCTCAAGTGAAACATCATTGCACATAACCTGAATAAGTGATATACTCACACAGAAAGCTTTAGGCTAACAGCCTCCCGCAATGTGCACCTTCTACAGAATGTAGATATGTACCTCCCTCCAAAAAAACAAACAAACAAACAAAACAAAAAACACTTCGCAATTTTATAATTTCCTGATCTTGGAATTTCTTATTTTGCTGGTTTTGTCTGGCTGTAATATTATTTAGAATCACTGCTATTTAGCAATGGCCCAAATGATTGCAGGGCTCAGATAATGCACAAAAGCAGGTGTTATTGATGCTTTTCCCACCAGGGAAGGGGAGTAATGGAATGAGGCAGTAATTTGATGTACTGATGGTATCAACAGATGATTTGAGTTTGTGCCACCAAGGGCACATTGTAATGTCCCTCATTGTAATGATGAGGGGAAAAAAAATGGTTTGATGGGAAATTAATTAACTACTGGCTTATAAAACCTGGGTTCAGTTAGCTTTGTTACTGAATTGTAGATGCTAGACAGGTGAGCTCCTGCAGAGCCATTTGGGGGTTAAAAGGTTCTTTAGAAGGGGTGAAGATTGTCTTAGGTGAGTATGGGTAGCAAGCAACATAAGGACTGGTGTTCTCACTCAGTGCAAAAGCAGTTAGCTTGGCTCAAGTCATGCTATGTTTCTAGGGAGGCTGATTGGAAGGGAGCGTGTTTAGCAGGTAGGCAGAGACATCTCTAACTGCTGTGTTAGTTTTGGAAGCAAACTTGCTTAGTGGCTGAAGCTGTTGGGAGCTGATCTCAGATTTATGCAGCAGGATGTGGGTCCCGGTATGTGCTGTTTGCAGGTGATTTGTTCTTGATCCTGAGAGGTATCAGGACAACAGGAAATACTTAGCACCTAAACTAAGAAAACTTGTAGCTAAGTTGTTTCTGACAGCTCAATGTCCATAGAGGGGTGCTTCCCACTGCTACAGTGATACACTTTAAAGACGATCAGGCAAAATACCAGAGGCTCTTCAGTTAGACTGAAATATCATGGCTGGAAAAAGGAGATGAACTTCTGGGTGTTTGAGCCCTATATCAGGCCTCCAAAGGCATGCAGGTAGCCCCCAAACTGTGAGGAGACGAACTCCCTAATCAAGCGGAGGGAAACGTGGCCCTCTCCTTCTGGAGGCTGAATCAGAGAAGATTGCTTCTTCTTAGGACTAGAGAGAAGGCAAAGGCTCTCAAGAAGCAGAACAGCTGATGTTTGCCTTATACATAAATGCCTAAGGAAAATATTAATTGTAAAAGCATACAAACTGGTCTTTGAAGATACTTTGCTGCAGAAGCACTGCTGGAAAAAAAGTCTTGTTTGAAATAACTTGGTTGAAGGTAGCTAAGTGTTTTTTTTACTGTCTGGCACAATGTTGGTTGGTTGCTGTAGAAGCAGCCAGAATGCCTGAAGCTGTTTGATTTTTTTTTTTTTAACAGCTGATGTTTGCCTTATACGTAAATGCCTAAGGAAAATACTAATTGTAAAAGCATATAAACTGGTCTTTGAAGATACTTTGCTGTAGAAGCGCTGCTGGAAAAAAGCCTTGTTTGAAATAACTTGGTTGAAGGTAGCTAAGTGTTTTTTTTTTTACTGTCTGGCACAATGTTGGTTTGTTGCTGTAGAAGCAGCCAGAATGCCAGAAGCTGGTTGATTTTTTTTCATCATGTACTTGTTTTGGGAGGTTTTTTAAAAGTATTCTTCAGTATTTGCTTACTGCTCTACTGGATTGTAATTTTTGAAATCTACGTGGCGCTCTATAATTTTAACGGAATCAGGAAGAAATAAGTTTGTTCTAGTCTGTTTTTAGGGCTTTTTATTTAAAAAAAAATTAAAATAAAATAAAAAAAAGAGAGAGGGGGGGAAAAAAAAAAACGGCAATAATCATCTTCTCTTAAAAAGAGACCTGGTAACTTGTTCCTCAGTAAGGAAACCATTTAAGTCTGTACTAAGCTATTCCAAAGATGGAAGATGGAGATATTTACAGCATTTTTCTTTTCCTTATCTCTTAAAAAACAGTGTCTGATAGGCATTAAGGACTTCCATTTACCATATATGACTTTCTTAAATGCTTATGCTTCAGCATATCTTGATTTTTAATACTGGTCTTATCTTATTTTACATTCGCTGCATCCTTTGGGATTTTTAAATGCAGGCCAGAAACTGGACACATAGTAAAAGCTGAGCCATTTGTCTCATTTTAGTCTCTGTTTTAGCATGAATATATTGCATGAATATTGAGATAATTTTTGAATGCAACTGAAAAACGTAAAGATACCAGCAGCCAGAGCCATTTAACTATTCTCACCATCTCCATCACTTTCCCTGAAGCCAAACGATTCAAGTCTAGGCAACAACTGATAAAATTTGTCACAGAAATTAATTTTATAAACTTGGGAAATGACATACACCAGACCTCACCCAGTACCAGTATCTGTCTTTTTTTCCCCCGAATTCCCCCCCCACCCCCGAATATAGGCAAAACTTTGGCTTGGATCTGATCTGCTATGATGTGATCTGCATGAAGAAAAAAATCCTGTGTCAAAGTGCAACTGCTAATTTGCTTCTAAGAAGTGCCAATGAGCAAATTTAGCACACTAGTTTAACATGCTGTGATAACGTAAGAGTGGCCATACTTAGAGCAACATGAGGCCATCTAGGCTATCCCTCTGATAGGGAGGTTGAAAAAATAGGTGATCAGAAAAGCAAAACAAGAACGTGAAAGGCCTACAATACTTTTGCCAAGTGGCCTCCAGCAGTTGCTACTCAAAGACTTCCTCAGTTCCTGAGTATTTAGTAACACTGTGAATTTCTCTTCCATGAACTTCTCCAGTCTCCTCTTGAGCTCACAAAATTTTTATATCTGTAGTTTTTTGCCAGAATGCAGCCCAGCTATGTTTTAACATGAAGAACCACCACTTCTTGTCTGAAGCTGGGTCGCGTGCTCTTGGCTGAGGTCGCTTCTCCCTTGCTTCAGAGGAAATTGAACAAGCAATCTGCAACCACGCTTTTCCAGGACACTTATTTTAAGCCCTCTGTTATGTCCTCCTAGCTATTCTATTTGCCAAGGAGAAGAGGAGTAGACTAAATACTCATTTCTTATGCAGGAGCCACCTCCTGCTAGTTGTCCTTCTGTTAATTCTCTATATTTCTCCTGCATCATTTTGAAATGGTGGCCTAAGACACAACACTGTTCCAAATGAGGACAAAATTAGGATTTATGCAATAGCATGCTTTTCTGTTTTTGTTCTCTGATTGCTCACTCCAACATTGCTAACACCTGATTAGCATTTTCAGCTGCTGCTGAACTGAGGTTTTCATGGAACTACATTTTAAAATCCCAAGATCTTGCCTGATGATAGCCAGTTCAAAGCTCATTGTTTTATATGTGAAGTTAAGTGTGTTTTTCCCCCCATATGCTTCACTTTATAAGCCGTCTTATGGTACGGCTGCTTAGTTTTCTCAAAAGCCTTTGGTGAGGGAATTTGTTGAAAGCCTTTTATAAATCCAAGGTCAGTTGGATCACCCTTATCCACGTGTTTTTTCGATCCCTTCAAAGGACTGCTTTAGGTTTGTGAGGCAGGGCTTCCCTTTATGAAAGTCAATTTAACTCTTCTCAGATAAGTCATATTTATCCAGGTGTCTGCTATTTCTTGTTATATTTGAAGCCTGTTTGTTTGGTATAGATATCAGGCTTACAGGAATGTTGCTTTCTGAATCTCTTCTGGAACGCATTTTTTATATATATATTTTTTAAACGGCACTCTATAGTCTTGGGTAAAAAGACAGTTTTAAATTAGTGATAGCTGTTTCTGTCTTGAATTCCTTTAAAGCTCTTGGGTGAATGATGTGTGGTCTTGATGGCTTCATGTTTATTTTGCTTGCCTCATCTACAGTTACTTGTCTATATAGTGTCTTTTTCATAATTACGCTCATTTGTGATCCTGAATAGTTTTCTATCGGAAGACTTATCTAAACTCTAATTTGAATCAAGTAGTTCTGTAGTTCAGTTTGGAAGACATTTCAAAAATGCCAGAAGCAGCAAGACATACGCCCATATTTCATTCAGCAATAAAAGAATGCAACTGTTTCACCTCCGGTTTCCTCCAGTAGAATCCTAGGCCTGAGGATTCTTTAGAAGTGCAAAAACATTTAACCCATTTCTTTTTGATGTGGAAGG